TCACGTGTCCAGCAGTATCAGCCATTCAGAAGGAGATACGATCGCTGGAACATGGCATTCATTGACCCGACGTTCCGGATTCGCACTTGAACCCACCATCGGAGAGAGTCACAGACAAGGGTGGTAAGAACGCCGGGGGTGCAGTATTTGTAGGACGCAGTTGCCCTGCGGCCACGTGTTTACTCCAATTAGCAGATCCTGCATTCCTCGCTGGTGGTCGTACATGACGCAAAAGAATATGGAGCCGCGAGGTAAGTGCGCTTCTTAATCGACTGCGGGTCAGAGAACCAAGACTGATGCATTTCACTGTTCACGCGGTTATCAGCCCCTGCTATATATAGTTAACATTTGACATAGCACCACAACAGGACATACCAAGTCTGGTGTAGGAGGACTTTGTGATTCATCCATATGCTACACGTACGTCCCCGAATAGTTAAAAAAATCTGCGACACAATCCAACTGTCTACATGTCCCTAAACTGGCGTTACAAGGCTTGGAGGTAGGAAGTGAAGTGCGAGTTGTGAGTGATCTGGACGTTTATTGGTTCCCAAAATAAGGGTTTATGAAAATATGTACACAAGGAGAATGTCGTTGAAATGCGAAGGCGGTAAGATGGGAAGGGGCCAGTTTTCAGTTTCGGGGGTGCGATGGCGAATCTGCAAGGTTTGCGGACGGTGAACAGTTGCCCAACGGCGCCGGAGGGGGCGAGTGATCTCCCCCAAGAGCCGAGAGCCAGTTAAGGTACTCATGTTCCACATCAAATCGGAGGGACAGATGACCAAGAGACACGACTGACATGTCGTGCAGTTCCGCTTCTCTACCTAGAGCAAGTTGGATAAAAGAATGCAAATTTGAGTTGATAAAGCAAATAAGCTCATATTTGAGCACAATGAGACCCGAAGTCCATTTTCTGGCTTAGAGGTTTCGAGGAAAGAGCAAGGACCACCATCAAACTTGGTGTGGGCATCACGCCTTAAACGCTTTAATGGATTTGGCTTACATTGATTACACTGTGTGTCGGCAATATTGATGATAATTTATTCCTCTCAAGAGAAGACAGTGGTCTTATGGCGCCATACTAACCAATTATAGACGCGCTCATTGCCTTACTAGCCTGTCCTTAGCTGTTCGTAAGACCGCCCATACTCGATTATTAATGCTTGATGCATACGCAAATCCTTCAGTATTGAAATAACTACTCCGGCGTTCTCCGTGCTAAGGGTTTATGCGCAAACAGCAAGAGTTTCTCGACCGTTAGCACGGCAGGGAGAGATGACGTTTTTTTCCGGATGCACCGGGTGGGTGACGTCCGGCCATGGTTCCGCCAACGA